TGTATTTTTAAAAAATCCATGTCCACTCTGGATTTATTAATCATGTCTTATACTATGGGCACAGTCTCTGCTGTTATCTGAGAAATTATTTCTGATTTAATTTTTTCCAGGTCCTCTTTTGTTGCCAGTTCAGGGAGTCCAGGTGGTTTAGTATGGAATTTTTCCATCTCATTTCACTTTGTGGTTACCTTATATCATCTGGAAGTCTGGTTTTGAGATTTACTTATGTCTTCTCATTTCAACGGTTGCACCCTATCATACCTTTGTTTAAGGAACTATTTGCTCACCCAGTGGTCTTCAGTTCTATAATAATCTGTGTATGAGAATAGTATTCTGTATAGAAATCTAGGCTTGCTCATTATTTGGCTATTTTGAAGTGCACTGCAAGAAACATGGGTGTGAGGTGTCCGTATACTGTGCTGACTTTAGCGGCTTTGGGTATAAACCAAGGAGTGTTACTGCTCGATTAAATTGCACCTCTATGATTAGTTTTCTGAGGAACCTCTATGTGATTTCCACAGTGGCTATACTAATTTACATTACCACCAGCCACGTGGAAGGGCTATTTTTCCCTCACATCCTTGGCAGCATTTATTGTTTTATGTAGTTTTTGACAATAGCCATGTTGACTGAAATGGAATAGAACTTCAGTGCAGTTTTGTTTTGTTTTGTTTTGTTTTACTGGGGATGGAACTCGGGTCCTTATGCTTGTAAGGCAGGCAGTTGTACCACTGAGTTAAATCCCTGGCCCTCAGTGCAGTATTGATTTGCATTTCCTTAACAGCTAGAGATGTTAAACATTTTTTCATATAATAATTGGCTATTTGTACTTCTCCCTTTGAGAAGTGTTTGTTCCATGCATTTGCCCATTTATTCAATGAGATATTTGATATTTTTTTTTGCTCTTAAGTCTTTTGAGTTCTTTATATGTTCTAGATTTTAATCCTTTGTCATAAGTGTTGCTGACAAAGTTTTTCTACCATTCTGTAGGCTGTCTCTTCATTCTGTTCCTGGTTGTGAAGAAATTTTTCAATTTGATGATGTCCCATTTGTTGATTCTTGCTACTGTTTCCTGTGCTTTTGAAGTCTTAGGAAAATTTTGCCTCTGTCACTGTCTTCAAGTGTATCACCTAATGTTTTTTTTTTTATAGCAACATTAAGATTTTGGGTCCTATATGTAGGTTTTTGCGCATTTAGAATTTGTTTTTTATAGGGTGAAATAGGGCTCTAATTTCTGTCTTGTATGTGTGGATATCCAGCTTTCTCAGCACCATTTGTAAAAGATGCTATCTTTTCTCAAACCTATATTTTTAGCTACTTTGTCCAGAATCAGAGGGCTGTAGTTGCATGGGTTTATTTCTGTTCTCTATTCTGTTCCAGTTGTCTATGTGTCTATTTTATGCCAGTAAATATGCTGTTTTTGTTACTATACCTTTGTGGTATTGTTTAATGTCAAGTATTTTGATGCTTCAGCCTTGCTCTTTTGGCTTAAGACTGCTTTAGCTATTTGGGTCTTTTTTGTATCCATATGAATTTTAGGATTTCTTTTTTTGTAGTTCAGTGGATAATGTCTCTAATATTTTTATGGAGATTGCATTGAATCTACAGATCATTTTTTGTAATATAATTATTTTGAAATTTTAATTCTGTCAATTTGTGAACATGGGAAGACTTTTCATCTTTTGGTGTCATTGATGTTTTTTCCTCAGTGTCACTGTGGACGACTCTTACCTCCTTGGTTAGATAGATCCCTAGGTATTTTATTCCATTTGAAACTTTAGAGTTGTTTACCTGATTTTTTTCTCAGCTAGTCCATTATTGGTGTATAGTAATGCTATTGACTTTTAAATGTTGATTTTTTAATCCTGCCACATTGCTGAATTCATTTATCATCTCTAAGAGTCTCTTGGTCAGATCTTTAGGGTTCTCTAACTATAAGATCATACCTTCTGGAACAAGGATAATTTGAGATATTTTTCTATTTGAATTTTTTTGTCTTGCCTAATTCTCTAACTAAAATTTCAAGAACTATATTGAATAAGAGTGGTGAGAATGGATATCTTTGTCTCCTTCCTGATTTGAGAGAAACGCTCAGTTTTTCCCAGTCACAATGATGTTGGTCATGGGTTTGCTGTATATAACTTTTATTATTTTGAGGGATGCTACTTTGATACCTATTTTCTTTTTGGTCTTTTTTTTTTTTAATCACAAAAGGATGTTGATTTTTTTCAGAGCCTTTTCTGCATCAATTGAAAGGATCATGCGATTTTTTATCCTAGATTCTATTTATAGGTATACTAAACTTACAGATTACATATGCTGAGCCAAGCTTGCATCCCTACAATGAAACCAACTTGACATGGTTTATGATCTTTCATTGTATTGTTGAATTTGGTATTTTATTAAAGATTTTTGCATCTATTGTCAATGAGGATATTAGTCAATAGTTTTCCATTTTTGTTCTTGTCTGACTTGGATATCAAGGGAATGTTGGTCTAGTATAATGAGTTTGGAAGCATTTCTTCCATTTCTGTTTCATGAAATAGTTTGAGGAGCATTGTTTTAGTTCTTCTTTAAAGGTTTGGTATAATCCAACCATGAAACCATCTGGTCCTGGGAGACATTTTGTTAGTACTTCAACCTCATTTCTTATAATTAAAATGTTTAGGTTTTTTTTTTATATATCCTCACTTCAGTTTTGGTAGGTCATAAATGTCTAGAAATTTATCCATTTCTTTAGGTGTTATATTTCAATAGAATATAAATTTTCAAAGTAGTCCTTAATAAGTGCTCCAGATTTTAGTAATAGCTATTGTAACATTCCCTTTTGCATCTCTAATTATAATGATTTGGATCATCTCTCTTTCTTTTTCTAGTCTGGCTAGGAGTTTAGCAATTTGTTTATCTTTTTAAAAAACAACTTTATTTTATTGATGCTTTGCATTTTTCTTTTAGTTTATATCATTAATTTCAGGAATTTTCTGCCTTCTACTGGCCTCAAGCAGGGGTTGTTGTTTTTTTAAGACTTTGAGATGCATTATTTATTTGAGATCTCTCTGTTTTTTTTTTTATATGTAGGCACTCATGATTATAAATTTCCCTCTTAGAATTGCCTTTGCTGTATCCCATAGATTCTGGTATCTTGTGATTCAATTTTCGTTTGATTCTAGGATTTTAAAATTTCTTCTCTAATTGCTTCAATGACCTACCAATCAATCAAAAGTGAATTGTTTGATATCCATGTGTTTGTACAGCTTCTATTTTCCTTTGCTATTGATTTCCTCCATCATTGCATTGTGATCTATGAAAATGCAATAAATTATGTCAATATTTGATATTTATTAAGGCTTGTTTTATGGCCAAAAATGTGATCAATTTTGGAGACTTTCCCATGAGTGTCTGAGAAGAATTTGTATTCTGTAATTATTGAAGGGAATGTTCTGTAGACATTGGTTAAGTCCTTTTGATCTATGGAGTACTTAACTTTGATGTTTCTTTGCTGATATTTATCTGGATGACCTATCTACTGGTAAGAGTGTGGACTATTGAGGTCAACCACTATTATTGTATTGGGACCTACGTGTGCTTTTATGCTGAGTAGTATTTGTTTCATGAAACTGGACACACAATATCTGTTGCATACCTATGTACAATTTTTATACTTTCTTGATGAGTCATTCCTTTTACCAATGTATTGGGGCCCTCTTTGTCTCATCTGACTAATTTTGTCATGAGGTCTCTGCTTTGTCAGATGAGTACCACTACTCCTCCTGTTTTGGGGTTCCATTTTCATGCAATATTGTTTTCCACCCTATTACTTTCAGTCTTTGTATTCCTTTGTGTAGTTCTTGCAAAGAGCAAAGAGTTGGGTGTTTTTTAAAAATCCAATCTCCCATTCTGTGTCTATTAATAGAAAAATAAAGGCCACTTACTTTTAGAGGTGTTATAGAAAGGCATGTACTAATTTCTGTCATTTTGGTGTGTTTCAAATATTTGATTCTTTCCTAATTTTCAATAGCGTGCCTATTCTTACTGTTCTGTGTGTAGGATTCCTTTAACTATCATCTGCAATGCTGGCTTAGTTGTCATGATTTTCTTTATGTTTATGTTAGAAGGTCTTTGTTTCTCCTTAAATTATGAAGGATAACTGCTAAATATAGTAATCTAGTTTGGCAGTTATTTTGTTTCTAGGCTTGAAATACATTTTTCCATAGCCTCCTGCCTTAAGGGATTCTGTGGAGAAGTCTGAAGTTGTTCTTATGGGTTTGCCTCTATAAATGATGTGGTGTTTCTCTTATGGGTTTCAATGTTCTCTCTTTGTTCTGTATTCTTGCCATTTTAATTATAATGTAACACGGGGAGATTCTTTTCTTGTTGTGTTCTTTTCTTGTGTGAGATTTTAAATTCTTCCCATACCTAGATGCCTGTATCTTTCCCAAGAATTGGAAACTTTGCCCTTATTATTTCATTAAACAGATTTTATGTGTCACTAATCTATACCTTGGCAACCTCCTCTACACCAAAAAAATTGTAAGTTTGGTCGTTCAACCTGGTTCCAGAGTATGTTTTTTTTCATAGTTTATTTTTCCCTTTCTTTATTAGTGTCTGCAAGTACTAATTCCTCAACTTTATCTTTGAGCTCCAAAATTCTATCTTTTGCATGACCCTTTCAAGGGGGGAGGCTTTCCAGTGAGTTTTTTTATTTGACTTACTGTGTTTTTCATTTACAGAACTTCTGTTTGGTTCTTCTTTATAGTCTGTATCTCCTCATTGATTTGCTACTGCACGATCTTCCTTAATTCACGCAGCTACTTATTTGTATCTCTTTGAAGTCATCAATCCTATGTACGAATCAGTTTTTTGAACACTTTGTCTGATGTTTCATCCACTCCAATGTCTTCACATCCAGTAACTGAGAAATTATGGATATGTGGAGGAGCCAAGTTGCCTTATTTTTTATACTTCTTGCATCTTATATTGAGACTTTTGCATCTAGTGGGATGGATAGCACTTCAACTTTTATTTGAAGGTCTTCTTGTTGCCAAGCCTGTTTTTGAGGGCTAGTGCCACTAGAAATGAACCACAGTAAAGTTTACGATACAGAGACAAACTAGATATTGACACACAGTAAAACCTAACAAAAGCAATAACTATGTCTACATTAGTAACAGAAATAAGCTATAAAAATTAGACTCAAACACAAGCCAGATATTGAGAGACTGTAAAAGCCAATTAAAAGCAACAGCTATACCACCCTTAACAACATAAAATAAAATAAATCAGCATCCTAACAGGTTTTGGTTTGTATTTATCTAATGATTTTGATTTCAACATATTTCTATGTGGTTATTGGTCATTTTATACCTTCTTTGAAGATTATATTTAAGTCCTTTGCCTACGTTTTAATTGGATTTTTTAAGTTTTCTGTTTGTTGGTGCTATGTAGTTGTAAGAGTTATTTATACATGTTTGATGTAGATACTTTACCACGTATGATTTGCAAGTTTTCTCCTATTCTGTGGGCTGCTTTTTCATTTTCTTGATACTGTTCTTTGATTCAAAAATGTTTTTAATTTTGGTGAAATCCAACTTACCTATTTTTTCTTTTGTTGTCACATCCAACAAAACATTCCTAATTCTAATACCATGAAGATTTTCCCCTTGTGTGTGTGGTTTTTTTTTCCTAAGTGGTTTCTAGTTTTAACTCTTACCTCAGGGCTTTGATCCATTTTGACTTTATTTTAATAAACTGTAAAAGTTAAGATTATTAGAGATTTTGCTGGGCATTTAGCTCAGTGGTTCTGTTGCCTTCCTCGCAAGTGCTAGGACCTGAGTTCAATCCCCAGTACCAAAAATAAAAAACAAGATTATTAGAGATTTTGAATAGAGAAAAATCACAATCTCACTTTCATTTCCTCTTAAAAGACCATTCTGACAGCTCTGTTGGGACAAAATTGCTGCTGACTGTGCTCTATCCAATCCTTCCTATCACTATTAGACAATTTGAAAACCACATCTCACTCTTAATTTATACATTTTATTTTTGTTTAGAAATTAATATGATGTAGTTTTGCATGAATATGTGATACTTCCTTTACCTCAGACACCCTAAACACATAATGCTTTTGTCTACACTTATGTCATGCTTTTCATATAACTCACTCCTCAAATATGTGTTTAACAAGTATTTATTTGGCTGCTTATTTTGAACCAGGAATTTTCCTAGGCCATAGAAATACAATGCTGACAACGAAAAACTCAGCCCTCAGTTAGCATACATTCTTGCCATGTAAAGCTTGGACAGTTCAAATGCCCTTCATGTCCAATGATTACACATAGAATAAGGATTAACTATTGAGAAAGAGAAACCACCCACCTTACTAGTCTGTCATAACCAAAGAGTCTACTGAGACAGCACAGTTGGTAGTATTGTAATTCACAGAAAACTCTACTGCTTAAGCATGGATTTGTGTGTGTGTGTGTGTGTGTGTGTGTGTGTATTTGTGTTTTACTGGGGACTGAGCTTGAACACATGAAGCACTGAATAACATCCTAACCCTTTTTTTAATTTTAAGATGAGTTCTTATTAAGTTGCCCAGGCTGACTTCAAATTTGTGACCCTCCTCCCTCAGCCTCCCAAGTAGCTGAGATCACAGGTGTTTTCCACCATGCTTGTCTTAATCTGATTATTTTTCAATGGACATTAAAATCTTTTAGAAAAAATCAAAGCTCCAGAGACATCACTCCTTATGTTAACACCATACCTTACCATAGTGTGTGTCTATTTCTGTCTGTCTGCATGATGGAAGATGACTTCCTTCATCCATCTGTTTCCATCCCCAAAAGAAATATAATTACATTAAATATGACAGCAGAAATGGAGAAGATAGTACAGACTGGCTGGCAGGAAGAGCCAGCAGGAAAACCAGAAGGACATGGGGAAGGCTGACAAGACAGAAGGAAAAGAGTGAGCGATGGGAGAGCAGACGGGAAGAGGCTCTTGCAAAGAGCTGACACCTTGACTGAAGGCCAAGGAAAAAACAAAGATGGTCTTGGCAGGAAGCCTACCATGATATGTTGCAAATGAGACCTAAAATAACAATGAGGTATTCCAGAAAAGAGGAGCTCTGAGGAGAGAGTAAAGTCCTTTTCACTCTCTTCTTCCTGCTCTGGGTCCCTGTCTTCATCAGGAAACTACTGAGCAGAGTGAAGGCTGCAAGGCCTGGCTCCCATCATGCCAATCAAAACCCAACTCTAGGGTTTAAAATAATGGATATATAAGTAGTTGTTTCTAATTTTGGTAAGAACATTTTTTTCTTTATCTGCAATGATACAACTGTTCTGTAGAATCTCAATTTGCCAATAATTCTAAGATCCTAGCAAAAATATTTTTTAAAAACTTCTAAATCCCTAGCCTAGAAAAAGGCACAGAAACTTTGTACACATTTCTGCCATGCCATCAATAAGTGTCTGCACATTCCAGGGAGCAGCCATGTGGACCAGAGTGGCACAGCTACAAGCAGGTTCCAGCTAGGACCCCAACCTGACCATACCCCAGAGACATGGGCACACATGCCCAAGCCACAGCCTACCTAGAAACGAGTTGCACAGGTGTGCAAGTTTCATGCAGAGTCCTGCCATACCATTGGCAAAAGCAAAGGGCCCACCTGGAAAAGAACTACACAGACACACAAGCACCAGCCAGAGGCTCACCCTGATACCACTGATAAGTGCCTGAACACCCTAGCCAGAAGCCTACATAGAATACAGAATCTGAGATACACAGCATCCAGCCAAAGTGCACCCGAGATAACATTTTAATAAGCGTGCCAGAGAGAGGCACAACTAGATACCATGACAAATGTGCACGGGCCCCAGCCAGAATCCCACCGAGACAACAGATCAGCTCAGGGATATAGAAGGCCACCATTATAAACCCAGGAATTGGTGTACAAGGAAGCAGGAGAGTAAAGGTGATTTGGTGGCCTGCTGAGAAGTGACCACTGGGTGAGCAAATAGTTCCTTAAACAAAGGTATGATAGGGTGCAACCGTTGAAATGAGAAGACATAAGTAAGTCTCAAAACCAGACTTCCAGATGATATAAGGTAACCACAAAGTGAAATGAGATGGAAAAATTCCATACTAAACCACCTGGACTCCCTGAACTGGCAACAAAAGAGGACCTGGAAAAAATTAAATCAGAAATAATTTCTCAGATAACAGCAGAGACTGTGCCCATAGTATAAGACATGATTAATAAATCCAGAGTGGACATGGATTTTTTAAAAATACAGGAGCTAAGAAACATGATGGGAATCCCAACATAGGAAATAAATGGAATCCATAAAATGGATGCAAACAGATTTCCAGTAGATTAAAAAATCCATTGAAAGCTTATGCAGCAGAACACGCCAATGCAAGGACAGAATTTCAGATATAGAAGATGGGTTTGCAATTAGTGACCAGGAAAAGAAAAATGTCTTAAAAATAGTAAGGGACCATGATAAATCAACCCAGCAGCTGCTAGATGATGCAGAGAAGAATAGCATAAGAGTGATTGGAGTCAATGAAGAAACAGGAGAGAGTGCAGACTACATAAAAATACTATTCACAGAAGTAATGGCAAAAAAAATCCCAAGCAGAGCAAAGGAATTTGAAACTCAGATAAGTGAGGCCTATAGGACTCCAACTAGCCATGATGAAAAAAATTCTACACACCGGCATATAAGATTCCAGAAACCCAGCAGAAGAACAAAATTATACAAGCAGGTAGCGAAAAGAAAGAAATCACATACAAAGGAAAGCCCTTCAGAATCACAGCAGAATTCTCAACTCAAACCCACAAGGCATTAAGAGCATGGAGTGACATGTTTCAAGACCTAAGGGAAAACAACCTCCAACCCAGACTGATGTACCCTGCAAAACTATCTTTCAAAATTGATGGAGATAGTACACAAGATCCTAATGAGATAATTAACAATGTGAAATAGGAAGAAAGGGGCTAAAAGTGTAGGGAAAGTGGGAAAGGTAGAGGAAAGGGAATAAGGGAAAAGAAAAAAACATGAGAAAATGAAAAAACGGAAATAAAGTGTTTGTAAATGGGGAGGGGAGGAGGAGGTGAAGGGAGGGCAGGGACAAGGGGAAAAAATGAGAACCAAGACCCGTCATGTAAAGGTACAAGATCCCATGTAAAGGTAGCTAGATCAACTAGACAGAAAATAACAAAATACTAGAACTCAATCAAACTCTTGAATGAATGAAATTAAAAGATGTTTACAGAGTGTTCCACCCCACAAAATCAGAACACACATTCTTTTCAGCTGCACACGAGTAATTCTCCAAAATAGAACACATACTTGATCAATAGCAAAAGAAACTGCAAGAATTTCATAAACACATGGAATTTGAACAACACACTTCTGAATAACCAATGGGTCACAGGGGAAATTAAAGAAGAAATCAGACAGTTCCTACAATTAAGCGACAATGACAATACAACATATCGGAATCTATGGGACACAATGAAAGCAGTTTTAGGAGGGAAATTCATAGCAGTGAATACTCATATTAGGAAAACAGAGCAAGCTCAATTACACAACCTGATACTGAACCCTAAGCTTCTAGGAAAAGAAGAGCAGGACAAACCCAAAGCTCCTGCAAGGGAGGAAAGTATGAAGATCAGGGCAGTGATTAATGCAATGGAGACTAAGAGAACAATACAAAAAATTTGATGAAGCCAAGAGTTGGTTTTTTGAAAGAATAAACAAAATTGACAAACCCTTATCCAGTCTTATTAAAAAGAAAAAGAAAAAACTCAAATCCATGCAATTAGTAATGAAAAGGGTGAAATTACAATGATCCCAGCAAAAATCCAGAGGATGATCAGTACCTCCTTTGAAAACCTATACACGAATAGGATGGAAAATATGGAAGAAATGGACAGATTCCTAGATACATATGAATTACCCAAGTTGATTGAAGATGACCTAAAAATTCTAAACGACCCAGTATCAATCAATTAAATTGAAAACATAATTAAAAACTTACCAACTAAGAAAACTCGGGGTCC